TATGAAAGAAATATTTTCTAGATGATTAGTGAACAGTTTTCCCCTGGAAAGGAGAAGAAGGTGGCTGCTCAGTAGTTAATTGTCTGTTAGGTTGGACAGCCATGGAACTTACCGGGCTTGAAAGAAGAGCAGAGCAGGCCGCCTGCCCTGTGCCTCCGGCTGGACACAGGTGATAGGAGTCTTCATCAGCCAGAATAGCAGCAAGGGTTTGAACCGAATCTGGATGGCCTCTTGGTTTTACTTTTATTATTATTATTTTTTAATAGTGCCAGAAGTTTATTTGAAAAGTGAGGGATGAAGGGGTAAGGGAAAAACTGGCCCTGCAGAGCAAACTTGGGCTGAAAAAAGAAAAAAGAAAAAGAGCAAAAATAAGAATACACCTAGGTCTGGAGACCTTCATGGTGGCCCCTGCGAAGTTACGAGAGCAGTCACTTGCTTTTAGAACCCATATTCTCTAACCTGCCTATTTGGCAGTGTGAGAGACCGTTTTGTTTTTGTGTGTTTTTTGCTTTGGAGACAGAGTCCCAGTATGTAGCCCTGACTGGCCTCCAACTTGTGACCCTCCTGCCTCAGCTTCCTGAGTGCTGTTTATTTATTTTTGCAGTTTTAGTGATGGAACCTAGGGCCTTGTGCATGCCAGACAAGAACTTTACTGTTGAGATGCATCTCCAGCACAGTGCTGTGATATTAAATAGGGTAATTAGGAGCTGGTGGTGATGGTGCACACCTGTAATCCCAGCACTTTGAGAAGCTTAGGCAGGAGGATCAAAAGTCTGAGCCTGCCCTGGGCGATTTAGTGAGACCCTTTCTCAAAAAAAAAAAAAAAAAAGCTGGAAGTATTGCTCTGTGTAAAGGGTTCAGTCCCTAGTACCATACACACACACATGCAGGTATTTAAGAGAAATTCACCTCAAAGTTAACATTTGAACAAAGACCTGAGTGAAGGAAGAGAGGAGAAATCAAACATAGAAAGCAATGTAGGAAAAGAGAAAAGGCAAGTGAAAGAGCCAGAAGCAAAAGCAACGAGGAAGTTAGTACGGTCAGCAGGGAGTAACAGTAGGGAGAAGATAAGGTGCTAGAGAGGACCCGAGGAGACCAAATTGTCTCGGGACATGGAGGTCATGTTAAGGACTTGTGGGAGAGTTCTAAACAGAAAAGTGGCATGACATGATTTGATATTAAAAAATAAAAAGCGTGGTTGCTGTGAGGGGACTAGACCAAGAGGGAGGTCTGGGGCAGAAATAGACCATTTAGGATTCAGGACACTTGCATAAATCCAGGGAGACCTGACAGCGGCTTGAACCCTCTGGTAACCATTGAGGTTTTTGCGTTTTTTTAAGTGGTCGTAGGCATTGAATCTAGGGAGCTGTGCTTACTATGCAAGTGGTCTACTCTGAGCTACTCTTTCGGCCCCCACTGGGGTCTCAAGAAGTGGTAAGATTCTGGATCTGTTTCGAAGGCTGTGCTGATAGGACTTCCCAGTGTGTTAGCTGTGGACTTCTTTTGCTTGAAACTGAAAGGATGGAAAATCCATGTATTATGCTGGCCACAGGGGGGAAAAATGGAATTAGGGTGTGTTATGTACACATACCAATTCCCCAAAATGAATATAATCATTACGTACTACAAACATTACTGATAAAAAATAAGGAAACAAAAACAAAAAAACAGGTATTGAAAGGGCTATGAATAAGAAGCAAGTTTGGAAAGAACTCAGGACCTTGATTTTTTAATTTTATTTTTACTGTGGTAAAATATACATAACATAAAATTTGCATTTTAACCATATTTAACTGTTACAGTTTAATGGCACTAAGTAGCTTCATGAGGTTATAGTCATCCACACTATTTATCTCCAGAACTTTCTTATCATCCCAAATAGAAACGCTGTACCCACTAAGTAACTCCTCCTTCCCCACCCCTCAGCCCTCGAGCCCTCTGTTCTGCTTACTTTCTCTATGAATGTGCCTGCTGGAAGTACCTCACATAAATAGAATCATACAATATTTTGCCCTTTTGAGTGTGAAGTGGCATCTCCTTGTAGTTTTGATTTACATTTGCAGGACCTTGAAAAATCCATACAAATAGCTTTTTTCACTCTGAAGCTAAAGGAGAGTGAGAAGTTGGTAAAAATAGGGAAGAGAGGTCTGAGTCTTAATCCCTGCAGAGCTAAACACTTAAAGGCTGGGAAAAAGAACAAAGTAGCAAAACCAAGAAGAGCGTGATGTCTAGAAGTTAAGTGAGGAATATGTTCAAGAAAGAGCGAAAGAACAATTTTCTTGCTGAATCGAAAGAACAATTCAGCTCAGTATTAGACCCCTAACCTGTGTCAGGCCTTGGGTTTCATTGTGAACACTGGAAAAAAAAATTTTTTTGTCAAGCTCTACAAATACATCAATTAAGATGAGAACTGAGAATTGACCACTTGGTTTAGCAACATGAAAGCCAGCAATGATCTTTGTTACGGCTTGTGTCTAGATATGCCCCTAAGCCTCATACAAGCACAGACAGGGAGGTTTGAAGGTGGCTAGGTTAGAGTGTGTGGTGCTGGGATTAAGGGTGTGTGATTACCAAATCAGTCCACTCATTAGTTTGGCATAGTTCTGGGTGTGGATGAGAAGGCCCACCCTAGGTGTGGGTGGCACCACCCAAAGGACAGATAGCCTGGAAGGGATAGAAAGGAGAGGCAGGCTGCTGCCACAGCAGCACTTACTGCTTGCTGCCTTCTGCCTGCCCTGCTTGGCCATGGCCTGTTTCTCCTGTGTGATGCCCCTCTACCGTGCCACTCTGCCTTGGAGCCAGCTGACTATGGACTGAAACCTCTACAAACTAAGCTAAATAAACTTTTCCTCTTTTAACTTCGGGTGTTGGGTATTTTGTCTCAGCAGTGAGGAAAGTAACTAAGACAAACTTTATAAGAATGATTTGGGTGGAGTGATGGAAGTGAAAGCCTGTGTACAGTGAATTAAAGAAAATAATAGGAGAGAAATTGAAATCGGAGAGTGCAGATAATGTCATGATGAATTTTGTTATGAAAGGGATCTGAGAAATGGGGTGGTAGCTGGTGTGGGATGTAGGAACTAGAGAGAAATTACTGTTTTATAGCAAAAATTACAGAGTGCTTATATGTTAATGGGATTGATCCAGTAGAGAAGGAAGAGTTATTGATGTGGAAGAGAGGGGAGAGAATGGCTGAGATGGCTTGCTGTTTTGGAAACACCATGCTGTGAAGTCTTTCAGCATTGTCCCTTTCTTGACACTGTGAACCACAGAGAAGGGAAAGCAGGAAAGCTGAAGAGATGGTAATTGTGACTGTTGGCTTTAGCCTCTGTGAATCAGGTTTAAAGTTTGTTGTTGTTGTTTGTTTAGCATTTTTGCATGGGAAGTGGGGAGGTGTCTGTGTCCCCAGCCCTTGTTATTCTTTTATTTTGAGATAGGGTCTTGCTAAATTCCCCAGACTAGCATCCTGCTTCAACCTCCCAAGTAGGTGGGATCATAGGTATGTGCCTCTACACACATTAGGTTTAAAGATCTTGCTGGTAACCTCTTGTCTTACTTGTGCCAAAGTGCCCCCAGCAGGGATTTGTACAGAACTTACTTCCTTCTAATACCCAGCAGGAACAACTGAGCCCTGCTTTTCTTTGAGTTCTAAGGATCCTGGGCATAAGGAACTAGGGTTTACTCTCCTATCTTTACTCTTTTCCATCATGAATATTTATTTTTTTATTTATTTATCTATCTTATTTATTTATGGGCAGGTTCTGAGTTGCCCAGGCTGGCCTCAGACTTGGGTTCCTCCTAAGCGTTCCACATAGCTCAGATTATAGGCATATACCAGGATGCCCAGCCTAAGTTTGTTTTATCAAGTGCATGCCATACCTGTTCCATACTCAGAAGTCATGGTATGTGGCAGGACCAAAAGCTACTAAAAATCCCTTCAGTGCTTCCTAAAACATCACTTTCAACCTTGGATACAGTGGGTTAGAAAGATTTTAACTATTTATACTTCTGCTAGTTACAGAGAAACTTGAATTTTCTTACATTTTTTTACTGAAATCTCTACTTCTTTTTTAGAGCTTAGAACTTTAGGAGATGGGTTTTCACAGGGGAATAAGACTGGAAAATAATTTTATGCTTTTGACGGTTACTTACCAGGAGAAATGCTTCTCCGGTAATGAAGTCTGACCCAGATGCTTCTCATTCATATTTGTCCAACATGCTAAAAGCCAGACATCCTGAAATAAATAATGAAACACTAGATCAGTGGGTCAGTGCTCTAGAACATTGTCTGCCAACCCCTAATTCTTCCTTAAATTGCAGCTGTGTAGACAGCTTAGTCTTACTTTAGGTTCTGTATCTGTTTTTTGCAGAAGGAAGAAAAGCCCTAAGTACTCAGGCAAGTTCATTTTTGTAATGAAAGATCCAGAGCAACCTTCTAAACAATTTTCAGAATTGCTCCACCAGTTACTTTCACCCTAAATAGATCTGGTCTGTATCCAGCAAAACAGCTTTTGCATGTTCATACCTTTCAGAATGAATCATCTTCCTTCCCTTTAGTGAGAGGGCCGTGTGTACTGTTTCTGGTAGAATTTCCACAAATGTTTTATTTTTTGTAAATCTCCTAGTGCTTCTCTTGAGTTGAACCTAGAGGATGCCTGATGTTCCTCAAGCAGACCCGTGAACCCCCCAACTCACATTTGCTTGTGTTAAGAGGATAGTTAGTTCTGATCCTCCTGGAACTGTGTCAGGCATCCTGTTTATGAAGCTGTTCCCACTGTAGGAGGGTCAAAGATGGCAGTCAGCTGGCTGTATAATCCTATGATAAGCTATGAAGAAAGGTAGAATTTTGTTCTCACTTGTTGAGCATAGCCCTTTTTACCTGTGAAATGGAGAGTACTATTGTCAAAATGTTGGAGGTGAAATTTGGGACATCTTTTGATCTCTTTAGAAATCAAAATTTGCTCCAACAAGCCTAAACCTTTTAATTTTATATTTTACAGTTTCCAGACATCAGTCAAGAATCTGATTCTCCATTTGTTTTCATCTGCAAAAATCCCCAGGAAATGATTGTGAAGTTTCCTATTAAAGGAAATCCAAAAATCTGTAAGTCACAAACTTTGATGGTCTAATTTTATTTTCTGAGGGTTTTTTGTTTTGCTTTTGTTTTTTGTCTTACATTTCATTTGTTTAACTTTTCATTGTTATTTGTTTTCGAGGCAGGTTCTCTCTCTTTAGCCTAGGCTGACCTCAAACTTGCAATCTTCCTGCTTCAGCCTTCTGAGTGCTGGGATTACAGGCACACACCATACTTGGCTCTTTGGTCTAACTTTTTTAAAAAAGAGTAACAAGCTGGGTTGGTGGTGCATGCCTGTAATATCAGTACTCAGGAGGCAGAAGCAGGACGGTTGCTTTGAGTTCAAGGCTAGCCTCAACTCCATAACAAGACCCTGTCTCAAAAATGGTGAGGAGGCAAGTAGAGGTACATTTTTTTTTACCTCTCAGCCTTAAAGTAGGAGGATCATGAGTTTAAGGCCAGCCTGGACTACATAGTGAGACCCTGTCTCAAGAGAGAAAAAGAAAAAACTCCAGCACTGTAGTGTTGGAGGTTAATATAATCATATTTATCAATAGCTAAGTCATATTAAGTACAGTATAGCCTTTACAAAGTGTACCTTGAAGCTGGGTGTGGTGGCACATGCCTGTAATACCAGTACTTAGGAGACTGAGACAGGAGGATTGCCTGGAGTTCTAGGCCAGCCTGGGCTACATATCAAGACCCTATCTCAAAACAAAACAAAACAAAGTATACTTTGATCCACAATTGTTGGCGTGATTGTGAACTGCTATCACTCTAAAGTTCTATTTAGGAATCCACTATATTAAAATGCCCTTTGTCAGCCAGAAGAGTAACTTTGCCGATTGTACTGCTCATCAGAGTACTGAAGCAGTGAGCCAGCGCTAGTGGCCACACTGTCTTTTACCCAGTGTTCTTCAGTATTTCATCCAAGAGTAACATTTAATGTCTTGGGGTTTGGTTTTTTTTTTTTTTTTTTGTATTTTTAAAAATCTCTTGTTTGTGCTGGGGATTGAATCCAGGGCCTTGTATATGCGAGCACATTGTCTACCACTGAGCTGTCCTCCAGCCTGAGTGTTTATTTGTAAGCATGCATTGTGGAGGTGCTGCTTTCCCTATTTCCTTGGTTCTTGGTTCCTACAGTGCTGCCCTAGCCCTCTTGCTGTTCATTCTTTTTGTGTAACCTCTTAAAATAATTTCTTCTTCTGTGACTTTTGCTTTTAGGTGTGTCTGGTTGGTTATAGCATCCTCTGGGTATTCCCTTCCCAGACTTCGTTCTCCTTTAATTGTTCAACTCCCAACTTCTCTTCTTCGGTTTAATCCTAGAGTAGCCTCCTCCATTGCCAGTCAGCCTGGGAGACGCACAGCGCTGTCTTTCCTGCCTAACTTCCTTTGAAGAACACCACCACCACTTCGCATTTGCTCCTGTCAGTTTCTGCCTTGTGCCTCTCCGTCACCTCTTTCTGGTGGCGTGAATTGGATGATTCAGAGGCGCACATTGTCTTCCTTTGTGCGCCACTCTGCCTTACCCTCTCTATACCGTGGGGACCAACTAGCCATTTTTATGTCTCTTCTCTCCAGAAGTCCTTCTCTAACCCAGAAGAAAATAAAAAGCACCTAGCGACCTGTTAAATACAGGTTCCTGGACCTTGCTGTCTGCTGATGGTGCTGCAGCTGGCTAGTTGAGTACGCTGTAACACTGCTTTTCATCACACAATGAATTGCTTGCAGTATGAAATTAGGTTAACTTAGATTCACACCACAATGCAGGCACCCCTTGTGATGGATGAGACATTTTCTCAAGATTCCTGCAAGGCAGAAAATCTGAACAAAGTCACCTTTGACTTAACAGATTCCTCACTTCAGACTGTACTGCACTGCAGTTGGGGGCCTGCTAACCCTAGAATTCTTTTTGCTTTTCCACTCTTTAGGATTTAAATGTTCCTCCACTCACCCTCAGGTTTGGTTTGAGCAGTCCACCCCTTCCCAGCCCCTCCTCACCTTGCTCTAGGAACTGGTGGCCGCTGGGGGAGGAGGAAAAGGCGGTCGGTGTTCTCTCTCTGACCACCAGTGCTGGATCTTCAGAACCAGTTCCCTTTTCTTAGCTTCTTCCCCATCTCGGTTTTCTTCTGCTATGTAAGCTCCTGTGAGAAAGTGTTCTATATAAACAGAGTTTAGGTCTTTCTAGTAGTTTCTGTACCCAGAGACCTGTATACTGTATGCCTTCGGTTTTCTCCTAAGGGATAGAAGGGAATGATGCTCTTAAAGAAAGTTTTAATAACTTCCTGTCTTTTTCCTTCTCTTGTTTCTGTTAATGGTAGACCAGCAAGGTGGAACATTGGCTCAAAATAATAGGGTTTTTTAAATTTTGAGACAGGGACTTGCTAGGTATCCCAGACTTGAGCTAATGATCCTCTTGCCTCAACCTCTGATATGGTGGGATTACAGGCATGCACCATCATGCTCAGCTTGATAGCAAACACTTTTTAAAAAGTAAGGAGTATTAGCTGGGTGTGGTGGCGCACACCTGTAATCCTAGTGCTCGGGAGGCTGAGGCAGGAGGATTGTTGCGAGTTTGAGGCCAGCCTGAGCTACAGGCCAGCCTGAATTGCATAGTGAGACCCTGTCTCAAAAAGACAAAAAAAAAAAAAAAAAAAAAAAAAAAAAAAAAAAAAGTAAGGAGTAGATTGGCTAATCCCTATGGATCTCAGAAAGTATTTCTATTGAGAGTGAATCAGCTCAATCCGAAATTTTTTTTTTTTTTTGTCTTTTTGAGACAGGGTCTCACTATGCAGTTCAGGCTGGCCTCAAACTCGCAACGATCCTCCTGCCTCAGCCTCCTAAGTGCTGGGATTATAGGCATGCACCACCATGCCTGGCCCTGAAATTTTAGTCTAGTGTGAAGTTTCTGTTCCCCATATCTCCTCCTTTCCTTGTCCTTCATTCTTCTTTACCTTCTTTAAAAATCTTCCACTTTTGCCAGGTGTGGTGCATACCTGTGTAATCCCAGCACTTGGAAACTGAGGCAGAAGGATTGCTGCAAGTTTCAGGCCAGCCTGGGCTGCATAGTGAGTTCAAAGCCAGCCTGAACTACTTAGGGAGATCCTGTCTCAAAAAAAAAGCATTCTTTCCACTTTTCTGAACTCCCTTCCTTTACACCCTTGGGGAAATCTCCAGTAGTTTAGAACTAGAAAAGTTTTTAATCCCAGTGCCACATCACATGAAGTTCCATAATAGTAATAGTTTTAATCCTCATAATGTACTTATAGCACTAGGGCTTAAATTTGTGTGTGTGTGGAGTGGCTTAGGAACCTGGTCACCCTTTATAAGTTAGTTCTATGAGAAATGTATTCTGAGTTCCAAACTTTTGACTTGTAAGTAGACCTTTAGAATATGCCTCGTTTATCATGTTATATCACATGTATGTATATGTACATATTCCTTAAACTAAAGGTGCATATTTTGCTTTGTTTTGGGGCACATAAACTTGAACTTGCTTGACCTCCAGATCACTGTCTCATGAAACTGAAATAATTCAGAAAACAACAGTGTGCAATGTATTATCATTTGGCTTCATATCTGCCCAAATTAGGAAGAGGAAAAAAAAGTTAAATATACTAGTGGGATATATAGGTTGAATACTTAAAAGAGATAAAGGAACTTTTCTTTTGTATGGTGCTAAGGATTTAACCCAAGCCTTGTGCATGCTATGTAAGTGGTCTACTACCGAGCAACACCCTAGCTCACAATTTTTTTTTTATTTTACATGCAGTATAAATGCACAGAAATACTGCCTTGTCTCTTATGCAAAGCGTGTGAAAATCCCTATGAGAGTTATATGGTTGATGACAGATACTCTTTCCCCTTACAATTTCTTGTCGGTCTGTTGCGCCTGCACTTGACGCTCTTTTAGGTACTGTGATTGAGGATGTGGTTTAACACTGAAGTGCTCTCAGTGCTAAATGTAAAAATAAGGGGGAAATATAGAAACCGAGCATTGTCACTCTCCTGACAAGAGCATATACTCTCTGTTCCTGTAGTTCACCATCCAAATCCCACGCTTGCAAAAGCAGGCTGCGCTTGCACTCAGAGCTCAGAGTTCCTGCGTGCCGAGAGGAGTAGTGATGGCCACTTCTGCCCTTGCGAAGCCCAGGTCCCTTGCTTTACTGCTGTAGTTAAGCAAAGAGTTACTGCTGTTGGTGGTCACTCTAGTAGATGCTGCAAATTCAGCTGAGTCCTTGACTGTAAACAGTTCGCAGGTTCCTTGTACAGGACTGATCATCCTAGGCAGCCTAAGTGATAAAAGAATTTTTGAATCCCTGGGAATGGCCTAGACACCCTGTTCTTCTCCTGTTTCATTTCTCCTATTAGTTTTCGATTTCACAGCATTACCGCTGAAGCCAGAGATGGTTTGCCAGCCATCTACTGCTGTTTTGATGGATTGATTCTACCTGAGCTGATCCTGCTTGATGCCTGTCTCAGTTAGACTGGAGTTTTCTGAAACTCAGATTTGGAATGTTCCCATGCAGTAGACCTTTGAGAATTTAAAGAACATGGTAATCTCTTTTTTTTAATATGAGGAATCGGACATAGATATAATTAAAAACCTTACCTGGGGATGTATGGTAACTTAAAACTGAGACCACAACTAAGGAACACAATTCCTAGAACTCAGCCTAAATAACAGAAGCACCCTTACTTTTTACAAGAGGCTTTGAGTTTATGAAGCACTTTAAAATATACAATCAGGGCCAGGTGTGGTGGTGCACACCTGTAATCCCAGCACTTAGGAGGCTGAGGCAGTTGGATCTCCATGAGTTTGAGGCCAGCCTGGGGTACAAAGTGAGCTCAAGGCCAACCTGAACTGCTAGCGAGACCCTGTCTCAAAAAGACAAAAAAAAAAAAAAAACCACCAAAACTATATATAGATACAGATATACACACACACAGTCAGTCCTCTATGTATGTGAGTTTTAGATTCATGAATTCAGTGAACCAAGGATTGAAAATATTCTGGGACAAATAATTACATCTGTACTGAACATGTGCAGATCTTTTTCCTCTACCATTATTCCCTAAACAGTTTAACAACTATTTGCATAGCATTTTCACTGGGTTAAATATCGTAAATAATCTAGAGGTGATTTCACAGGTGGTTGTATTAGGGTATTTGCAAGTACTGTACTGGAAGAGGCCTGAACCGCTGTGGATGTTGGCATCCATGGGGGTCCTAGAACCGTTCCCCTGCTGATGGTGAAAGATGGCCATTATGTCAGTTATTTGATGAAATGACTTAGAGTGTGTAACGTACTTAGCACAGTAACTCACACATAGAAAGAGCATAATGTTAGCTGTAGTCATTGCAGTAGCGCTGTTAAGGGTTCTTTTTAATTTCTCCTTTCACTTGATAGTTAAGTAAACAGGTTTACGGAACTTGTATTTTCCTCAAGATTTTCTGGCTGTATATTTCTTGCTCTTTTTGCTTTATCATATTGCCTTAAGTAAGAAATTAAGCTAATTCACATCTCACTTTTAGGGCATAATGTCATAGTCCTGGAAAGGGCTTTCAGTACTGTGTAATCTAGTTAAAATTGAGGACAAGAGTGATTAAGTATCTATAATCTGCAAGGTCATACAGCTATGTAGTCTCAGGAATAAAATTAAAGCTGGGTCTTCCAATTTATTCTGTTCAGAGAATTGGATGTTTGGACTGTTAGAAGGAATTCTAAATTCTGTCCTAGTCTATTCTAAGAAGGGAGTGTGAGACCTCTGCTTATTTGTACCTCTGAGTATTGCCACCTTTTACAATGCGTACTCTTAAGTTCATCTGATATCTGCTGGTTTTGGCTACTCAGTAATCCCTATTGTCATGTCCACCTTCTTTGTTTAATTCGGTTGATGAAAGCATTTATTGAGCACCTACCACTTGACAGTCGCTATGGTAATGTGAGGGACACAAAGGCAAACTTGCCTTGTAATTGGGCTCTTTGCCAGATTGCTGGTGCATGTTCAAGTTTCCAGCCATGCAGTCTGCAGGATGAAAGATCTCCTAAATCCCTGGGAATGCCCTACCCTCCAAAGCCTACATCAGAATCAATAGCATTGTGAGTGTGGTGGATGCCATTTAGGGGACCACTTAGTGTTTATTTCTGAGGAAGCGTAATTATTATCTGAAATGTTATTCCAGAAGCAGGAGTAACTCTAGAGAAATTGGGGTGTAGAGACTTAGGGAAAATTGTTAGGCTGAGTTTTTCTTCCAGTATCCTTGTGCAGTTTTTCAGTTGGACGGTTGAGACCACTGAAATCCAGAGAGGCTGGATGTCCCCTCCCGACCCCTAGTTTATACAGCTTGTTGATGCCGGAGAAGGATAGACTAGAACCTGGGCTTTCTGACTTCTAGTTCTTTTGGTTCTTTCTGTTAAGCCTGATTGCCCCATAAACAAAAATGACAGTGCACAAATGGCAGTGGTTATGAGTGTGCACTCCAGGCTCTTCGTTTTATTTTTTAGAGCTGAAGCTGAACTGAACTGTTTCTATTTTTAGCATCAGCATCCCTACTGACTTAGATGAGGCTTCTTGCAGGATAAAGAAAATTGCAAGCTATATTCTCAGGCCAGACAGTAACTTTGCTAAAGATTCTCTTCATGAGATAGATGGTTCCAAGAGCTGCTGCCACTGAACCAAACTCTATCCTAGTAGAGCCAAGGTGTCAGAGTTTAGAGACCAAATCAGTAAAGTACTTGCCTTTTGGATCACCTGGTTGCCTCCTTTGTAAATTTAAGGCTTGGAAGAGTCATACAGCCTATGACCTTTACCCTTCTTAGCTGGTGATAGGGGCCCTTTGTCAGCAAAGCATTCATGTGGATTCTGCTCCGCTGTTGCAGGTCTCTCCCCCATTAAGTGTGAGGCACAGAGGGGTGAATTGAACACTTTTCTCACTGTAAAGGAGGTTTGTGCATTATGCTCAGCCAGTTAATGGGTCAGCAGAATGGGTTTCCCACTGTGAATGCCTTCCTTTATTAGGTGTGTGCATCCCCTCCCCCTTCTCCTCCCCCTTTTCCTCCCTCCTTTTATTTCTTCCCTCCCTCCCTCCCTAGAGCTCTCTCTGTCTCTGTCTGTCTATGCCTCTCTCTCTCTCTCTCTCTCTCTCTCTCTCTCTCTGTCTGTCTCCTTTCCTGTCTCTGTCTCTCTCTTTTAACCCTGTAGACACCAGAGAGGAGACACTCATCTTGGTGTCTCCTTGGTGCTTTGCACATAGAGTAAATGATATTTTAAAAAAGGATCTTAATTTAGCACAGCCACTTCTCCAGTGAGGAATCA